GTGCCTCCTCTGGGGAGTCCTAACTTCTCTCTGCTTAGACAGTCTCCAGTGAGTGCCACTCACCATGGCTGCAGGGCACAGGTTGCCTGCCTGAGCGTGAAAGCAGCCTGGGGCTGGCTATTACTCTGTAGGGGGTTGTAAAAAGTCTGCACTGGCAGGTCCCTGTAGATCAGTGGTGCTGGAACAGGTTTTAGAGTGGGGGTGCTTTTTACTTCACCCTCTCCCTTAGCTCGTCCATCCCCCCATCCCCCAAAGGTAGGGCCAGCACTGGGCTGTGGCTGAGAGATGTGGACTGGGTCAAGGGAGCTGAGGCTAGGACCACAGCTGCTGGTGGGAAGAGAGCCCTTGCATGAGTCCTGGAGCCCACCCATGTGGAGGCTGGGAAGTAGAGCAAAGAAAAAGTAACTTGAATTTCTTATCAGTACTATGCTATCACAATCCCCCCAGAGGTTCCTCAGGGCAGGAGGCTCGAGGGGTTATGAGAACTTGGAGGCTGCAGGAGTCAAGGCAGGGTGAGGGCAGAGGCCACGGGGGTGCAGGAGTCAGGGCAGAGGGTGTGGGGGTGCAGGAGGTTCAAGGAAGGGAATTAGCGGAAGCTTGGGGCTGGGAGTTCAGCCATGGTGGTGCCTAGCCATAGAGCCCCATGGTGCTGCCTAGCCATAGGGCCAGAAGCAGAGCCCTGTGTGCAGGTCCTGTATCTGGGACTCTGTGTGCGGGGCTGGAAGCAGAGCCCCTGACATGGGTCCTGTATCCAGGACCATGAGTACCCAAGGGTCCTGTATCTAAGTGGCCCCAGCAGCAGGGGTTGCTCATGGAAACCACAGAACCCATCAGCAGCCCCCAGGGATCACCCCCAAGTGTATGTGTGTGTGGAGGGGACTCCAGAGAGGGGCGGGGGGGATGCATCAGGGGAAAAGAGGGAAAAGGGGGCAGGGGAAGGCACCAGGAGGGTGCAGAGCTAAGGGAAGATGCAGGTGCCAGGGGATTCTGGGGGTAAAGCAGAAGGGCAGACACCTGCAGGGGAGGGACCAGCATCAGTGGAGAGAGGCAGGGGAGGTGTGTAGAGGGAGGTGTTAGGAGCAGGGATGAGGAGGGGTAGCTCACGTGACCAGAGTGGGGCTATTGGAGGAGTGGGCACAGGAAGGGAGAGAAGGGCTGGTGGAGAGGGGCAGGTCTCAGGAAGGCTGAAGGCAGTGAGAAGGGCAGGAGTCAGGACAGCAGAGGAGGGTGAGGGGTTGGGGGGCAGCAGGCACCATGAGAGCTGATCGAGCAAGGGGAGGAGACATGGCAGCAGAGGGAAAAGGTAGAGGTTTATAAGATATTTATTAATAACTTGGGTGCCACAGTGGCACATCCAAACAAGCCACATGAACTCAGTACAGGTACACAACACAAAATTCATTCTGCTCATGGGAGGAAACTCTTAGAGGGAACACTTCCCCCAGCCTCTCTGCCCCTGAGTTAATGTCACACACATTGGGTTAATGCAATTGCAGGATAGTTGCATGAGGTGGGGGCCAAACTAATCCCTATTGGTAGGAGGATGGTGGGAAAAGTCTGGGGGGGGGGGGTCACATGACAACTTTTACTTCTGGTCATGTTTCCATGTTACCTCCAGAGGCGTGGCTAATGGGAGTCAAAGAGTACATTTTAAAAAAATTCTTTGGGTGCACACCCTAATGAAATGTGCTGCGTATGCCTGGAAAAGTCGGGGGGGGGGGTGTCACATGACAACTTTTACTTCTGGTCATGTTTCCATGTTACCTCCAGAGGCGTGGCTAATGGGAGTCAAGGGTGTGGCTAATGAGGGTCAAAGAGTACATTTTAAAAAAATTCTTTGGGTGCACACCCTAATGAAATGTGCTGCGTATGCCTATGTACAGTAATATCGTATTGAATCAGTTGATTCTATTATTTACTACTTGGGGTTCAAATTTCCTCTCTTTATACATCAGTGAGCTTTTGTAATAGGTTCTTGTGAGGGTTACCCCTCAACAAAACATTGATTCAAACGTTGAGCAAGGCAACATGGAGTCTGGTGGTGAAGGAAGTTCCATGCTCTTTCTTTTCACAGCTGTTAGTTTAATAACTTCGTTTACTTAATATGCTAAAATGGACCTTCATTGTCTGCCTGAAGATTGGGCTGGTGAGATAATCAAATACACATTCTTTCCTATGAGTATGTTCACCAACTCCACATGACATGCCTGGTTTAAATTTGTTAGGATTATGACTAACATAGATCCATAATGTCCACTGCATACATACAGGCTACGTCTAGACTGGCATGATTTTCCGCAAATGCTTTTAATGGAAAAGTTTTTCTGTTAAAAGCATTTGTGGAAAAGAGCGTCTAGATTGGCACGGATGCTTTTGCGCAGAAGCACTTTTTGCGGAAAAGCGTCCGTGCCAATCTAGACGCGGTTTTGCACAAGAAAGCCCCGATCGCCATTTTCACCATCGGGGCTTTTTTGCGCAAAACAGTTTTTAGCTGTCTACACTGGCCTTTTGCGCAAAAGCATTTGCGCAAGAGGGCTTTTTCAGAATATTAATGATCACTGAGTTATTATTTTTCAAATAATCCTGCAGATCCAGAGATGTCATTATTCCCCTTTATTCGGCCCTGGTGAGGCCATGTCTGGACTATTGTGTCCAGTTCTGGACACTCCCTCCCACTACCAAAAGGATGTGGATTCATTGGAGAGGGTCCAGCAGAGGGCAACCAAAATGATTAGGGGGCTGGAGAGGCTGAGGGAGTTGGGTCTGTTTAGTCTGCAGATGCGAAGAGTGAGAAGGGATTTGATAGCAGCCTTCAACTTCCTGAAGGGAAGGAAAAACTATTTCACTAGGGGTATGTCTACACTACAAAGTTAATTCGAACTAGCAGAGCGTTTACTTCGAACTAGGTAAACCTCATTGTATGAGGACTAAGCCTAGTTCGAACTTACTAGTTCAAATTAAGGGGTGTGTAGCCCCTTAATTCGAACTAGTGGGAGGCTAACCCTCCCCAGCTTTCCCAGGTGGCCACTCTGGCCAACACCAGGGAAACTCTATGCCCCCCTCCCGGCCCCGGACCCCTTAAAGGGGCACGGGCTGGCTACGGTGCCCG